GGCCACGGCTGCTACGCCGACAATCACGAGCTGCTCCACGTGGTGGCTCAGTGTGACGGGGACGTCGGCCTCTGTGACTGCGGCGAGTGCATCGTGGCCGCCGCCGCTGTGGTGGAGGAGGACTGCCGGTGGTCCGCCGCCGGTCAGGTTTACTTGGACGGTTGCTACGTTGGGTATACGTATTACCCGTACGGGCTTCCCGGCAGTTCTTGCCACGGTATTTTGTGAATCTTGTTTTTTTAAATGTTTGGTTATCATCTAAAAATATCAAACTATAATATAATATTTTTAGAAAACTGAATTATAGAAAACAAAAAAATTTATAAAAAAAATAAAAATTTTCTAAGATAGATTGTAGTAAAAAAGAAGTGAACCGAAACCAATATAAATCAAATGTAAAATAATAACCCGAATTAAATAAATACTTTACCGAAACCAAACAAAATACCGGAAACCCCCATTAGGGTTTGTTTAGAAATTAATATTTCGCGTTTTGAGTTCGGGTTTTTTTGTAAATGGTGATTGGAGAAGAGGGTAAAATCGGAAGTACGGGAAAATCACTGGCGATCGTGGTGGGAGCAGCAGCAGCTCTGGTTATGGGTGCCGTTTTTCTAATGTTCCTCAAGCGTTTAGGCAAAAAGGGCGACGGTGAGTTATTTTTAATTAATTAATTAATTAAAATTTATATTCGCAAATAACCTTAATTTTTATTTATAAATACGGGTATAATTGTGGAATTTTTTATAACGTTTCTGCAGATTGTTGAAGGAAAAAAACTGGATAGGAATGATTTTCAGTGACCTGCCCCCAATCACTTTCCCGTTTTTATTATTCAATTTTATATAGTATATATACAACTTCTACACATATTCTCCAATCGTGGTTTGTAAACAAATCCGACTTATTCATGTATTGCACAAATATCCATATTTGACTTATTCATGTATTGGTTAAAATTGACTTTATTTAATCGAATTAATTAAATTGAAATTCAATGTAAAAATAATAAAAAAAATGAATGTAAATTTGATTGAAATTCGATGGAAAAGGGCATGGATATAATTTTTTTTTTACTAAATGAAAAAACGGATTCTCGTACTTAAATAAGAAATATCATCACCACCTATTTTTTTTTTCCAAAAAATTATCTATTTAAATATTAATTTTAAGATTGGGCTTGTCCGTGTAAGGTGGCCCAATAAAACTTAATTCCATATATATGTGTATATATATATATATATATATATGATATTATTGGAGATGTTTTAGTTAAATCTAAATAAACGAGATTTCAAATTGGATGCGTGCGTGTGTTTTCCTTGACTGGGAAGCTCTTCTCCTTGATGGAGCGAGTGAGTGCTTAGGGCAAAATATGGTTTTGAGTCGTGAAAAAGATACTAATTTTCTTTGAAGATGGTTGATCTCCACATGCAATGAATCCATCACTGGTTATCGTAGTTCCCGCGAATTTCCATTCGTATTCTTCCTCGAATTCAGGTGAAGAGCTGAGGGCACTGTTCGGCGGCGGAAACTCCTGAAGCTTTCGGAACCTGTTCTTCGTGAATCTCCACTGTGTCCTTTTCGGATTTCTACCGATTTATCGAAGTGTCATTGTGTTATAAGATCTGGGGTTTTCTGGGTCTGCAGATTTTAGGGTTTTGCCGGTGAGGATTCGCTCGAATGCGGATGGGGTTGGCTCTAAATTTCCATCGATGAGATTGTACTTTGCTTGAATGCTTGTTGCTTTCGTTGTATAGGGATTTTGACCGTCTCTTCGTCCCATGAGAAAAATTTGTTTACCATCCATTTGATAATGTTTCAATGTAATGAATCCATTGATGGGGTTTTGATATTTAGGCAGAAAACCTGCTCTGTAATTGATTTTGTTTAAATTGCACTCACTTTTCCTCTTGGTTTTGCTCCACTTGAGTGTCTGCAAACTAAGAATTTGCATCCAACCTTTGACCAGACCAAAGTGTTTGGTGTCTTCATTCATCTGTCAAATCAGATAACTCTGTTTTGCACTGAATCTGTGGATGAAAATCTAGCAAGCTCATCCTGGGTTACTAGACCAGGAAGGATTAGTAATTTCACAGAACAGTTTTGTGTCTTGGCTAGTTTATTTAGCTTTATGTGTCACTTCCTTTCTGGAATTTTGTTCATCTCCACAGTTAGAGAAAGATTCTATATGTTGACTAGAAATATATTTGGTGCATTGCATTTGTGTTGTGTAACAGGTCCTGTTTCTAGTGATCTTGATTTATGGAAGAAGGGATGACCATTAATGAAAGGGCCCGGAAGGCTATTATGACAGCAGGGATGTTAGGTATTCCACCAGAAAAGGCAAAGCGAGCGCTTAGGCAGCTGTTGCGAGTTTTTGATAGGAAATGGGAGCCGATTGAAGAAGAGAACTATCGAGCGCTAATAGACGCATGCTTTTACGACGAGGATGAAAAGGTACGCACTTTAATTTTGTGAGGTTGCCTTCATAGGGGTTTTTTTGTTTCTTTGTCTGATCTATATTGGTTTTACCAACTTTAATCTTTGCTCCGAATTCCGATAGGAAACAGGTAAGAAAGAATCCGTCATTGAAGTGAACGAGGACAGCAAAAGCCCCGTTAAGAAGCCAAACACTGGAGGACAGCAAGGTGGACAGAATGAAGGTTCCCCTAATGGTAATAGAGGGAAGAATGTGATGGTAATAGACCGTTCTACTTCTTCTGCTTCGTCCTCTCAGGCTGTCCAAAGGCAGCAACAGATTGTCGGGAGTGATCGAAAGAGGAGGTTCAAGAACATAGGGGACATATCTAAAGGAACAGAGAAAGTGGCTATCTCTTTGGTTGACGAGGTCGGGAATGAGGATGTGCCCTCATTTACCTACATTCCTCAGAACATTGTATACCAAAATGCCTATGTGCATATATCTTTGGCTCGGATTTCTGATGAAGATTGCTGTGGAAGCTGTGAGGGAGATTGTCTCTCAGCTATGGTTCCATGTTCTTGTGCTCGAGAAACGGGTGGAGAATATGCATATACCAAAGACGCATTGCTGAAGGAGGAATTTCTGGACACATGTATCCGAATGAAAAAGGAACCTGAGAAGTTTGAGCATACATATTGCCAAGACTGCCCTCTGGAAAGAGATGCAAATGAGGAGAAACCCGGAAAATGCAATGGTCACTTGATCAGGAAGTTCATTAAAGAGTGCTGGAGAAAATGTGGATGCCATATGTTGTGTGGAAACCGGGTAGTACAGCGAGGGATAAGGTGCAGATTGCAGGTAACATTTCTAGAAGGCCACGCAATTAAATTGTATATTCTGGTTTCACTTGTAGACAATATCCATAGTCTTATCTGTTACCCTTATGAAAGGTTTACTTTCTTGTGATTTTCGCTAGTATATATCGTTGTTGCGGTCTGTGAACATTCACTCGTATTTTCTAGTCTGACTATTTACTACCTTATCTATCTTTGTAATTGCCTGACAAGCCAAGATTTATGTTTCAGGTCTTCTTGACCCAGGAGGGAAAAGGATGGGGTCTGAGAACATTGCAAGATATGCCTAAAGGAAGCTTTGTTTGTGAATATGTTGGTGAAATACTGACCAACACAGAGTTGTACGAGCGGAATATAAGTTCTAGTAGCGAGAGACATACTTATCCAGTGACCCTAGATGCAGATTGGGGTTCTGAGAAGGAACTGAAGGACGAAGAAGCTCTCTGCCTTGATGCCACATTATGTGGAAATGTCGCAAGGTTTATAAATCACAGGTAACGGTTGAAGTGTATAGCACAGAGATATCGTTGCTGTTTTTTTTTCATACTTCCATAAATGTGGCATGGACTGTTCTGGTGAATCAGCTTTTTGTTTATTATCCCAGCCTTCTTTTCTTGTTTTCTCATGTATCATATGATCATTGCAGATGCAATGATGCAAGTATGATTGACATTCCGGTAGAAATAGAAACTCCTGATAGGCACTATTATCATGTAAGTATATGATACCTCATTCTGGCTGGCTAGAATTTGTGTAGATTATCACAGCACAGAGATATCGTCCCTTAATTATCATAGTTATTGTGTGTAAACTCACAGAAATCCTTGTTTGTAGATTGCCTTTTTTACTACAAGGGACGTGAAGGCCATGGAGGAGCTAACTTGGGTAAGTGGCAGTTTAGCTAATGGATTACATAGTTACAGATTCTTGCATGGGCAGAAGCTTTCGCAGTTCCCAAATGATAGAAGTATGGATATTGAACTGAAACTAGAGAAGATATTGCGGGACTAGGAACTGCGTTATCTGTTCTCTTTGGTTAGACTGTTGCAGAATCAGGTGAAACATCGAGACATACACATCAAAATCTGTCCAAACAGTTTTTTTCTTCTTTTGTGCTGTTGATCACAGGATTATCTGATAGACTTCAGTGACCACAGTCATCCAGTGAAAGCATTTCGATGTTGCTGCGGAAGCAAATCTTGCAGAGACGTAAAACGAAAGGGTCAGTTATTTTCTTTCTGAGCGACTTTACTTCCTCGATTCATAGGTTTTTGTTTACGTGCTTTTTTTTATATACAGTTGCGGCTCCAACTTGTCTGGTTCAGTTCGATCTACGGGCTGAAATACCACTTTTGTCATGAGATCAAAGTCAGAAGTTCTCTCTAACCATGACTTACTTTTGATATGACAGGATCTCGAGAGAAGACCTCTGTAAGAAGAACCATGGTTTCTGCTCAGAAACAACCAGGTGAGTGAGACACAACACGAGCCATTAAACTGAAAACTGCATATCGGGTTCAATGGTTCATGTTTCAGTACGAGGTTTGAGCCCACCCGTTGTTAGGACAATGGCATTTCATCTCTTGAACTATATATATATGAAAAAAAACAAGAATAACGCATTTTCTCGTAGCTGCAGAGACGAGATCAGTGACTGTAAAGAGAGGATGAGAAGTGCTTGGCATCTTTTAGTCGGAAACACAACACAACTGAAGATTAGTGACTGAGTAACACTAGAGAACATTCCTGGACAATCATGAAGAAGAAGAAGAAGAAGTAGAAGACAGATTTTGCACGCAGACTTCTAACAAATCTTTTGGAGGATTGATTTCGGAAAAGAGAAGAAAAAAAATTTGAAAATGATTTGTTTTTGGTACATTAAGAGGTTTCCTTCTCAGGGCCTAAACAATGCAAAATTGATTGCTTCTTCGTACATTGCATCCTTTATGCGTTTTAATCGAAATCACCCCTTTCAAATTTCAATCGAGTTTTTTAAAGCTATAAATATTTGAATATATACACAAATATATGCGTGTTTGTGTATATTTGTATGTATAGACGTGTATTTATATATAAAAAAATTGCAATGAATCGGAAGGGAAGATTATTATTAACGAACAGAAAAAAAAAGAAAGAGAAATATAGTTGGGCCGGGCAGATGTTTTAGTTGAAACCGGGTCAGCCCAATATCTGACAAAACCCTAGCTCCATTTAATCTTCGTATAAAAACTCTCTTTGACGGGGATCGCTGCTACGCAAATCGAAGAGCTGCAACAATGTCGAAGCGAGGTAAATCTCTCTCTCTGTGTAGTATTCCTGTTCTGTATGTGTATGGAGTATGTTCATATGAGAGCGAACTTCTTGAACTGTGTATCGTGTGCTTGTTCCTCGAGAAACTGTGATGAGAGAGGGATGTTTGCGTTGTTTCGGTTTCACTGGATCGTCATGTTTCGTTGTCTGTCGGTTTTCAATCTGATTGTTTTGTCTGTTTAAGGAGCTAAACTTAGGTTTCAAATGGTTACTTTGCCCCGATCTGTCTTGTAACTATAATACTCTTCGAAAATGATCTTTCGTTACCATTACTATTGGGCTCTTGGTGTTCTCTTACATTTCGCTGTTTATGGCGTTTAATCTCGTGAGTTGAACACGAAAAACGATCGTCTGCTGGTTCTATATACTTGTTCATTGTTCTGAAATTTTAGCGAGGCGAACTGAACATAGTAATGTCTGTCTTTTGCTGTAAGAGGTAATTTGAAATCTAATTCGTTGTGAACAATTTATATGGAAAAAAAGGACGTGGAGGTACCTCCGGGAACAAGTTCAGGATGTCACTGGGTCTGCCAGTGGCAGCCACGGTGAACTGTGCGGACAACACTGGGGCCAAGAACCTCTACATCATTTCCGTGAAAGGAATCAAGGGTCGTCTCAACCGTCTCCCATCGGCTTGCGTGGGTGATATGGTCATGGCCACCGTCAAGAAGGGGAAACCCGACCTAAGGAAGAAGGTGCTACCGGCTGTCATAGTGAGGCAGCGCAAGCCTTGGCGCCGAAAGGATGGTGTCTTCATGTACTTTGAAGGTAATCGACACTTATCAATTCGTGTGTGGCTTGGAGTGTTGGATCAGTGTTGACTGAACAAGGTTTGTGTTTCTTTTTGGCAGACAATGCTGGTGTGATTGTCAATCCCAAGGGTGAAATGAAAGGTACATTACTATCAATCTTCTGTGTGGGATCGTTATCTTTGAGGAATTCGGTCGTCCTGCCATATATATCTGGCTGGATAGGGTTTTGAAATGGCATGAATATTTGAGTAAGAGAAGAAGGGTCTTTAGATTTGGGGTGATGTAGTCTAATGATGTGTTGTGGTGTGTGATCAGGATCTGCGATTACGGGACCGATAGGGAAGGAGTGTGCTGACCTCTGGCCTAGGATCGCCAGTGCTGCCAATGCTATCGTTTAAATTCACTTTTGCCTCTTGTTTTTTTTTTTGGACAATTTCTTATTTCTGTTGTCGGGATTCCATTTCTTACTGCAACTGGTTCAAAATTTTGTTCTGAAACTTGGATCTTTGTTTCGTCTCTTTAATATCAGAAAATTATGTTGGGCGAAGTTTTCATTGGGCATGTAATCGAGTTTTATCCTTTTCTACTATGCCCAGTTTTAATTTAATGTACAGGAATTTAGCTGTAGAAGACGTATTTGGGTCCTGATATAAGAAATACGAATCCAGATATTTTGACGGAAAAAAGCAAAACTATGGAAAACAATATCTGAAAATCGAATGAAGGAGATGTGGTTTTTGCATTTCTCTCACAGAGTGGATGAGTGTCATAATGGCATCAATCAAGAGCGCATGTGTCCAAGACTCCAAGGTAGAAATGGGAGTTTGATCTCACATCACTCCGTCTTTTGGGAAGAGCCTCTGGCGGAGGCGGAGGCACAGTACTCAAACAAGCTCCCGTCGAAGCATCTCCTCACAGCCTCCTTGGATAAGTGACCGTTCTCGTCTTTCGCCAGCCAGTAGAGCACTCCCCACTCCATTTTACTCGCTCCCCTGTGTTTCACCCTTCACATGAGTTTTTTACAAGCAATGTGTGTGTGTGTGTGTGTGTGTGAGAGAGAGGGTACAGACCAGCCGAAGAAGTCGAAGGCATTGCGGTTGGCCTCTGTCATACTCCATATCTCCCCGAGTGTCAGCTTCTCAGGCACTGTGCGCGCGTATTTACTGAACATATTCTCCAGATTCACCGGAATGTATCTGCCAATTCCCCACCGTGGAAAGCTCTTATATATCAACTAAGCCCAAACAGAGTTCCGATGAGAAAAAAGAGACAAGGATCTCAACCTTCCCTCCGTGTCATATGTTCCGGTGTCGCTCCCGTGTTTGGCTCTATGGATGTTTTCTACGTAAATCGGGAAGGAAAGCGATGGTACCCAAGTCTGATTCGCAAGGCAGACAAGATGAGAAACAACGAGGTTAAGCATGATCGACATGGCATGTATGTGCAGTAGCTTACAGGCAGTGTATTGTAGCTCAAAGCAATGTGTATGATCATCGTGAGAAAGAAACTGGAGATCATGTTGAAACCGAGTGCACGGAATCCTGCAATTATATACAGAAAGAAGGACGATCACTTACATAGAAAGCTTTGATTCTTTTCAACAGTATAAAGATACGCCTCATCTTTCTTTTCTTGTTCTTCGCTTATACATGGAAACACACAAGTAAACGAGTGTACGGATCGATGCATTCTTCAGTTAGATCACATTGTTTTGGGCAGTAGAGACGGATACCTTTGAAGGTCTCCGAGGGGTAGATGATACCGTCGCCATCTTGGTCGAAGAAGGCAGCGTGCTGCTGAAGAACAGACATGTTCTGGTGCTTGTGACCCCATGTCCCGTTCACGTTTTCCGTGTCTGGAGCCACCATAGCTCGAGGAACATCTGTAACCATTTAGAACAGACAACCGCGAACTAGCTTGTTTCATCATCTTCATCGGATAAAAGTGAAAATGGATGCATGAATTTGCAGAACCTAATGATCGATGTAGAACACTCGCCTCTTAATATTTCACATGAATCCCTCGAGTTTCCATTTTCTTCGAAGAAATTCAAAAGAATCTAAAAAGCACACGCCATTTAAGCATAGATTCCAATGTGTCGATCAGTAACTAAAGCAGAGTGATCGAATCGCTGTATTGTGAAAGAAACATGAATTTCATCTAAGAACCGAAAAACGTATAGATGATCCGAATCTGAACAATCAAACTCAGTTCGAAAGATTTCGAAGCCCCAAACTCGAATCCAAGACTACAGAGAAGTAGAAATCGGGAGATGCAATAACTAAAGACAAAATCGTGAAGGAATGTTACATGGCTTGGGGAGACGATCCTCGAGATTAGTCCGGACCTTCCTCTCCGCCGTGACCGGAGCCTTCTCCGCCGCCGTGGCCATTGACTCGGCTCCTACTTCCGTCGCCATCTCTCAATGCGTGCGTGCGTGTGTATTGAACATTGATGGAGAAGGGGTATTTATATGGATGCAGGGAAAGCGCATAACCGCAACAAATTTCCAATCACCTCGGATGGAGAGTTGCCACGTGTTCTCATGAATAATCCACGTGGATTTTTATCTTAGTTAATTCATATGAATATTCTTATTGGTCTGTATGAAGCGGCAATATGGCTGCATATAAAAATGTTTTAATTTAGAAATGCGAAATTTAAAATCTGAATCATCATAATTATTATTTTTTTATAAATATCTATTACTCAAATAAATGATTTAATATTACATAAGTTGAAACGAACCATTTCCAATCAAATAAATTTATGTGTATTGCTAAAAGTTAATTTTAAAATTTAAAATATCACTTGTCTAAAAATGAACATATTTTTATGAAAATATTTAGATTTTTTTACGAAATTTTAAATCACTTTTACGGTTATATTCACAATCGACAAATCGAAATTATTGCTAAATTTCGGTTAAACCCCTAAACAAAATGTTTTTTTATATTATTTTAAAAGCATGAGAAGTACAACTTGAATATGTTTGTTTTTGGTAAAGGACATGAATATGTTGTTATATCAATTTATTTTCGCAGAAACCTTGATAGTTTATACTATAATATCTTCCTCCGAAATTTCAGTAGTTTTAACGATTATATCAATATAACAATGAGAAAATTCTCCACGTGTTTAAAACTTTGCAAATTTATCAAAATTGTTAATTTGTTTGAGTTTTATAATATTTAATGTATTTAATGCAATAAGCAACCTTTGACCAATCAAGAAATAGTAAAATTAAATAAAACATTTAAAAAGGGACCGAGAGAGAGAAAAACAAAACGACCAAGCAGTGGGTCCCCATCAGCCTTTTACGTGTTCTATAAAATAGTCGTCATACTCTAAGTAAATCTTAGCCATTGATTGGATGACCACTAGCTAAACGATGGAAGATCCAACGGTCAGTATGTAAACAAAAAGCTGGGGACGAAAACACGTCAGAAGGAGAAGGCAAATAAGGCCAAAATGCGTCTTCTCATGGTTTAGGGGGAGAGAGAGAGAGTTTATGGGAAATCGAGAAGGCAAATACTGAGGGGACGCCATAAAAAAGGTATTTCTGTTTGGTTCAATCATTCATTGAGGTGTCTGTTCTTGATTCGGTTTCGATTTTCGTGCTCCTGCTCGAGTAAGATTCCATCTTTTTCGACGATTCCATCTTCTTTTGGGTTTCTCAGTCACTGTTCGCATTTCTATCGCCATCTTCGATGGGATTTTCTGGGTTTCGATCAAATTTCCGAATTACGGGGTTTAAGAATCAGTTTGCTTTTAGGTGAGTTTGTATACCCACAAGGGGATTAGCTGATTACTGGGTTGATTTTTAAATTTTGCTGGGAGTTCATTGATGGGCTTTTTGTCCCGGATTCAGTTCGATTTTCGCGTTTCGGGTTCGAAGTTAACGATCAGTGAACTCGGGGGATAATTTATTCCTGTGTTATGAGAAGGATTATGCTGATTTGCGCATTAAATTGTCTATCTTCCTTTTTCCCTCTCTGTCGCTCGAAGTAATTTGGTTTTAATTGATATAATTGTCTTTGTCGGGTTTATTTTAGCTCGAATAACAGTGTTCGAGTTTGCTGATTCTGGTAGGCTCTTGGTCGTATTCTTCTTCTTCTTGTGGGGTTAGTTTTAGTTTGGATTTTGGAAAGGACAGAAATTTGGCGGTATCTTACCTAGTTCGTCGAATGCCGGGTCTGTCATCTTGAAATGTCCTACGAAGTTTCAAGCTGAAATTCCTGGTTTTGATGGGGTTTTGAGAATTCGGGCATGAGGTGTTGACTTTTTACGACTTGAAAAAATTCTGGGCTATGTTTAATCAACGAGCTTGGGCTCTTAAAACTGTCTCTTTGAGGTTGAGTGTTTCAAAGGTTGAGTCTTTTTTGTTGCATAGTTTTAATTTGACGAGTTGAATTTCAACGGCCGTATGCTCATGGCGACTCCTCCTTACACGTCCCTGTGGCTCATCAAAAGCCATATTACCTTTGCCAAAGTGGATGTGTAATTCCATTCCTTTTGCATTGATTCCATATCTTATTTATGGCCTTTCTGCTTCCGGATGTAGACGTCTCATCGTCTCTTTGATAGTTTCACACGGCCTATGCCTGAAAATAGCTTTAGTATTTTGGATAGCATAATGCATCATCTTCCCCTTGTTCTTTTTATCTGTTTGTTTGTGGTGTTTGTTGAGGCTTAAGGGAGACCTCTAGGGGGAGAAAGATCAAAATCTGGTGAGAGAGGGGTAAGTGTTTGTGATCTAAAGCGAAAGAAAAGTAAAAGAATATGCCCTAGCGAGTTTTTGACAGAACAAAATATAGGATTTGAATTATGGAATGAGAATTTGTTCAATGGTTCATGTCCTCCACAAAGGGTCTTTTCCCATATGTGACTACTTATTGATGGGGAGTCTCGTGTTTCTCTATTCATGCATCCGAGTTATGACCCTCCTTGAAAAGCTAACGCTCTT